GTAAGAATGTTACTTTTATTCTTTTTTTTTTTTTTTTTTTTTTTGGTCCTTTTTGAGACCGGCCACACTGCGCTCAGCCAGTGAGCACTGTGAGTGCACCGGTCATCCCTATATAGGATCGAACCCGCAGTGAGAGCGCTGCTGCTCTCCCAGCGCCGCACTCTCCCGAGTGCGCCACGGGCTCGGCCCAAGAATGTTACTTTTAAAGTATGAATAATTGCAGTTCCATCTTACTCACAAAAACACGTAAATAAAAACTGAAGAAAACGCTGACTCTATCCCTCCAAATCCACCAATAGAAACCAACTTCAAGGGCCAAAGGAGGAGATACAGATAGTAAATCTGCTCTGTTTAGTCTCTTCACCAATAATGGAGAACTTTTTTTCTTCTATCAGAGATCAATGTTCCAAAGGACAAACAATGAGGCTAATGCTAACTAAGATAAAACTGGGGAAAGAATACAAAAGCGGGGAAGAAAGAGTAGAGTGCAGACAATTCACATGTGATATTTGTTGAAGCTTTGAGAGATAAATTTCCAGTTCATTGCCTATATGGTTCTTTCCAATTTTTTAAATGAAAACTTATAGGATTCAGATTGGCAAATTTTGCTGTAAAGGGTTTATTCTAATGGAACTTTGGAATCCAGCAGATTTGAAATTTCATCCGCATTTTCAGCATTCCTGTACTAAAAACCAGGGACCATCACATCACTTTTATCAGCCCCTTCTGAGACTCACTCACATATCACCTCTTCTGGGAGGTCATCTCTGAAGACACCCTCCCCTCTGTGCTGTTGACTCATTCAGCAAGCACATAATAGGAACTACTTCATGCCAGCAGCTGCCCTAGCTCCAATTACCGAACTTATAAAAAGACACTGCGATGATCTGGTTACTGCCCGCCTTCTACCCCAACACGCTGTGCTGAGGGCCGGTTGTGCTTTAATCCATCTGTATTCCCTGTGTTGGGCACTGGGCCTGACACACAGCAGGGCTCAGAAAATATTTGCTGAATGAATGAACAAATGGATAAAAGAAAACGGAAATCGTTTTGTGTTATGTCATGGGGCAAATTCTCATTTTGTGATATTCTGGGATAGCACTTCTGAAAAATTTCCAAGTCATACTGTGTCTCTATTACTGTAAATAGACAATGTGCTCTGGGCTCTGCCCTAATTTACTACCAGATAGAAGTGGGGAGAGCCCTCTGAGCAAGCATGGGGCAAAGGAGAGCAGACAGGCAGTGTATGGTCTGCAGCTTGTCCCAGGGTGTAGAATCCATGCAGGAACCTCCATGCTGGAAATCTGAGGATGCTCACACAGTTCTACACTGTTCTCTTTGGCCTGGGATCCTGATAAACAAGTAGCAACTTCTTCCTTTAAAACAGCAAAACTGTTCTGTCTTCATAGGAAGGTGGGGATCCTAGTTGAAGACAGAAGGGGGTATGGGTGGAATACCTGCTACTAAGCCAGAGCTGGCTCCCAGTCAGTTTCTCCCATAGTCAGTTTCTTGAATTGAGACCAAAGCATGCTAAGGCTATCAGGTAACAAGCTCTCACAGAATACTCACTGTAAACATTTCAGAAACTGATGTCCCAATACCAAATGCACCAAACATTCATATTGTTAAGAGGAAATCAATCATTAAACTTAACATCATTCATGTCTTTTTCCACTGAGCCAAGTAAAGCTTAATAGAAGCCCGTTAGTATATACTTCAGTGTATGTTACTTTAAAATATGTTTCAGGTTAAAAGTTGCATTTCTTATGTCCTATTGGTTTATAGAATAGGGATGCAACCAGGCACTGTAGGTTAGACCACCAGGAAAACCAGCACAGCAGCATTCAAGAGCTGTGATCCTAACCATTGTCTCAAACCACCTGGATATTCTCCTAAAACCCATTAAGTTTCCCTGGAATCGGCAGCTCAATAGCTAAGAACTGCCTCATAACAAGGCTCTTTTCACTTATCACAGAATGTGACTCAGGAAAAAAAGTCTTTGGAGTTAGGCCTTTGATGCACAGAGTAAGCCTATGCCCATTATATACTTGGCCTCCCTAACCTCACTTTCTGCATCTGTCTAATGGAGACAAATTATACTAACTTTGTGGGACTGCTGAAAAGAGAAAAAGTTGAAGTGCTTTATATTATACTTGCCATTGTAAATGACTGATAAATAACAGCTCTTACTATATACTGTGTTGTCTTTTTCTTGCTTACAAAGAAATCCATACTAATTATTTTATTAAAAATTCCAACTGGGCTAAAACACATGGAATAAAAAGTGAAAGGGTTAGAGTGTGCTGTTGATAACACCAACATCAGGGGTTCAGATCCCCTTAACACCCAGCCACCAAAACAAAACAAAGTGAAAGGATCTTTTCAACACCACTCCCACCTCCATTTTAAGTGCAACTTTGCAGGCTTTTTAAAAGTCCCTTTTCTATAGGTGTGTTTGTGTTTGTACCTACATGTTTACCTCTTAAAATGGGGCTGATCATCTGCTTTACTACTTGCTTTTTGAACTTAATATTCTCAGCTTCATGTTCCCCTATTAATACTTCTAGCTCTAGTTCATTCTTTTTAATGGCTGCATATTGTTTCATAGTGTGGGTGTACTCAAATTTGTGTGACCACTCCATTAACAGACACTAGGGTTGTGTATAATTTTTGTTGTTATAAATACCGCACGAACAATTCTATATCTGTAGACAGTGTTTTGTACTTATTTAGGCATGACAAATATTTTATACCTATGTATAGTTTGTTTACACATGACAATTTCTGTAGTTCAGATTCCCTAGAATTATTGGGATAAAAGACACAAACATTCTAAATTTTGATATTGTCAAATTTCTCCTAGAAAGGTTGTGCCAATTTACATGTCCATTAACACCATATGGGAACGCCCTTTTCTTCACATTCTTGCCTACATTAGAGGGTGCAAATCTCTTTATTTTTTCCTGCCCAGTGGGCAAATAACAGCATGCACTGCTGTTTTAATATCCAAGTCCCCAAATCCTAATGAGGGTGGACATTCTTTCATGCTTAATTGTGGTCTCTTGTTAGTCTTCTGTGAACTTCCAACTTTGCCCATTTTTCTATCAGGTAGTTTTTCTTATTTGTAGGTGTACTTTATTATGGATATTCTTAACCTTTTGTTATTTAAATATATTAGATTGTTTCAGTTTATTGTCCTTAACTCTGATGATATTCTGAAATACATTAATTTGTAGGGGTGTGTCATCTTCCTTCCTCATTAGCCTGACTGGTCCTATCCAGGACCATGATATGAATATACATTCAGATCACCTCTTAAGTCCATCAGCAAAGTTTTATATTTTTCTTCACGGTGGTCTTATCCACTGCTTGTTGGAAAGTCAGAGGAGCCTTGACTGGGATCCTTCTTGCCACTCTTCACCCATAGGATTTATTGGCTACAGTTTTGATACCCTACATTTTAATCTTTTCCTACATATTTTATCATTTCAACTATATTGCAGCTTTCTTGAGAGGAGGAGCTTTAACAGTTGTAAGATTCTTCTCTGAATTGTGTTGCAGGGCCTTGCACATAATGGGTGGTCAATAAATGTTTGAGAGAAATGATTACTCAAGAGACTGGCACTCAGAGGAACAGAGGCATCAGCTGCTACAAAGAGGGAGCTGGGGAAAAAAAATTGCTGATAACAGTAGGGTTAAGGATTTGGATCCCTGCAAAACACACACACACACACACACTGCAAAACACACACACGCACTGCAAAACACACACACACACACACACACTGCAAAACACACACACACACTGCAAAACACACACACACACACACACACCCCTCT